TATCAGAAATAAATGGCCCTCCTACCCCCCCCCCCCCCTTTAGCCCTGTTGTGGTTAGTTTGTTTTGTCTGTTAAAAAGGCAAAGTTAAATTTTTTTAAAATGTATTTGCATATGTACATGAAGTCATGTGTGAAAAAAGTATGAATGCAAGTGCTTTCAAGGAGCATGCTTTAAAATCTTGTGTTTATCTTTCAGATATTTATAATTTATAAATTATAATGAATGCTTTAATTGACCAACACAGAAATTTGGGGTGCCAGCAGGTGATGTAGATCGTGGGGTGTGCTTCCTTGTGAGATAACATTAAAATGAAATAGGGAGGAAGTTTGTATTAGTGTTAACAGTATCCATTCTAAGTCTTCAACTTAAGCATTGCCTTTAGATTTAAAGAAATGTAACCTTTCTAGCTATTCCCATTGCATGTATTCTCTTTTGTTGTTGTAGTTTGTATCATGCCATTGCTCCAAATCCTTAAGGTAACACAGTTGCTAGTTGTTGCAGGACCTGAAGGGGTTCTGTTGGTAAAATAACATTTAGAAGGTTGCTTAGGAGAGTTAGCATCCTTATTGCTTATGAAAGATTTATTGACAGCAACATGGATCAGACTACCTTTCGGTTTGGTTTTCCTGACGTGTATCCCAGAATCCCTTGTTATGCCTGAACGCCAGCCAAGTGTTTGGCCATTGGTTTTCACAGGCCCACAGTAATGGCTGCTTCTCTGTGCGCACAACAGGAAGATTGCAAAAGAAAATATTAAGGGCCTTTTGTCTGAAAATACTTCCAATTTGATTTAAGAGCTGTAGAGACCTGTTATTTGTGGAAAGGAAGTTGCCAATACAAATATGAGGTAGATCGGTCAACTTACATACAACTGATTTGACAAGCATCTGTTATAATACTGAAGATTTGTAAACACTAAACAATGTTTTTACCTCCTTAAAAGTTTTGAGAACTTGCCAGTGTTGGCAGGAGGCAGAGACTCTGAAACGTGCTTCAAGATACATGCCAAAACCATTGTGGCCTTTTCACCTATAGCGCGTCCTCCCCTCCCCCCCTGTAAAATGTTGTATTTATTTCTTTCCAAAATGCTTTTTTTAAAAAAAATTCCTAGATAGCCACAGAAATAAGATCTTCTTTTCCTTCTGAAAATGCGTACAATAATGATTGCTTAATGCATCAGTCTCTTCTTTGGTAGGAAGTTGAAATCTTAGAAAGAACATACATGTAAATAAAAACTGGAAGCAAATGTAGAATCAATCATTTTTTAAAAAGCAGGTGTGATTTATTCTAAGACTCTGAGATGCTAAAATACAATACATAAACTACATTGCGATTTTTTCCCCCTCTAAATCCAGTGGTATTAGAACTATGTGCATTTTGTGGCTGATAAACAGTAACAAGTGTAATGAAATCGGAGTGATTCCATAAGCCTGAGAATTTCATCTCGTTAAAAGTGTAAAAGAACAAAACTGCTTTGTGCCCTTAATTTGGTCTCTATTTGCGTTGTTTTTCCCGTGTATCATATGACAACTTGGAGATATTATGGTATTGTGGCAAATGGTTTTCTTTGTGGGTGTGTAACAGTAAAGCTAATTTATGACCAGTCTTTACCAGATGATCTGTATCAGAATCTACAATATACCCGGCACGTGGCAAGGTCACAATTTAAGTTGTTAAGGTCATAACCTTAGCCACCAGGCATTTGACCTTTTAGATAAAGTTAACCTTTGTTCATTAGTAGGCACTCAACCGAGAACTTTCTGGAGAGTTTTTTTTTTTTTTTTTTCAACTGCTTCTGTATAACTTCTGGTAATGTAATCAGATTCTAGAAAGATTCTTAGCTGGGTTAAATTTTTTAAGAGGTTAGACTTTTTTAAGGACTTGTCTCTTAGGTTGGTGTACAGAAGTTGTAGAATGACAGTGTCACAATTTATGTTTGATAGTTATTACCTGCTGTGGGGTAGAATGAACGCTCTGAGGCAGCTGTGTGGAGACATTTAAAAACTAAAATTAAACAGAATTATGTTTAATTCAACTCAGGCCTTTGCAAATTTTCAAGTGGCATTAGGCCCAAAAGCTAAATCACAATAAGCCATCTTCACTTTTTGCAGATGAGGAATTTGCTAAAATTGGAAGTATTTTTAGCAGAATTTTAAATTCAGTTTGGAGGACTAGTAGGTACCCCAATTTATCAGGTAATTGGTGTAATTAGCCAATGACAAAGCAAACTGATCTTGTCCTAGTGGCAGTCCGAGTACTTGTTTGTTTTAAGGTAGGAAGTGAACATTTTTGCACAGTAGTATTTTAGGCCACTGGTTACTGATCACTTCTATGTCACCAGCACTACCCAGTACCACCAGCTTTACCTAATATTCCCAGGACCAGTGGTGCCTTCACTCGCTAAAAGAGCTGTGGCAGTGTCTCAGAAGCTGGGAACCTGTCCTATAAACCCGTACAACAGTATTACTGGTTACACATTGCCTGTTCCATATTGTTCACTTAATTATGCTGTCGTGAATGTGTGTTTTAAATTATTTAGATCACTGCTGGTTTTGTTCTGATATGCCACATATTGTTCCATTTCAACCCAAAGAGAGCTACTCCCATTCAGGTGCATTTTAGTTTTATTTGGGCTTCGTGATTGCCATTCCTTCATATAGTAATAGAGAAAGCCGTGATATGCAGATAGACCAGATGGTCATGTTGACAGATTGAGAATTCACTTCCTACTGCCTCTGAGCAGGTGTAAGATGAGCGTCGGTGTATGGGTGTGTGTATGCTTCGTGTGCATGTGCATGTGCATGCACATCCAGGCAGCACAGAGTTCTGTGTGAGCAGTGGGAGTGATTTCTTTTTTAAAATGCTAGTTCTTTAAACACCGTCTTAACTGTATATATAAGGTTATCGGAGCGTGTAGAATAATTCCGATAAAAGTTTTCAAGTGAATCATGTTAGATTGTTACAGTTTATAATTTGGTACCAAATTCATTATGATAATTTCTTCATTTTTAGGTAACGTACCACATTAGGTTGAGACAGTATTGCATATCTAAAACATGTTTAAAATATTCTGCTAGCAGATGTGTGTGTCATGTGTGTGTTTATGCTCAAGTCTAGGATTCTATGTAATTAAACTTCTTCATTCCCTTAATAAACTGCCTCGTAGAAAGTTAGGCAGTTAGTTTCTGTGATTGGTAATAAGAAAGCGTGTTTCGGAAAAGGACTAAGA